CAATATTCTCCATAAGAATAACATGGGAATTTTAAATTTACCATTTTTTTAGTTTTCTCCGTAACCAATAACCGTACAAAAACACTTTGATATACTGAATTATTTGTTTTTTTAAGCTCTTTAAGAAGGTTTAGAGAAAAATTGGATAATTTTGTGTTTTGAGGGTAAAAAGTGAGAAAAACCAATTTTTACCCCATAAAATCCCCCATAAAACCCTGTTCCCATGGTCCGATCATGCTGGATCGCGAACTCATTCAAGTTTATCCCGCCTTACACCTTCAAACCAAATTTCATCAAAATCGGATAAAAATTACTCAAGTTATCGTGTTCACGGACACACATATATATATATATATATATATATATATATATATATATATATATACATATATAAAAATTTGAACGAATGGTGTTTTTGGCCTCTGGGGACATTAAAATGAAAAAGTAAATCGGTCCCGGGCCTAAGTCTTACCATGAGACCTACGGTAATAGCTACTTCCCTATAGGGAAATTCGCTAAAAGGTTACAAGCACACGTTTTTTATCATCAATTTTTTCATAAATATGTTTTGAGATATTAAATAAGGCATGGGTAGTGCTTACGTTAGCTCTGAACCCAAACTGTGCGTTGTCAATGATATTATTTTCCTCGAGGTATCTATACAACTGTTGCTTGACACATTTTTCAATTATCTTGGATACCGCACTAAGTAAAGAAATAGGTCTGAAATTTGATATCACATTCTTTGGGCCTGATTTATAGATCGGGATTACTTTGGCGATTTTGTAAGGATTTGGAAAAGTATTAGTTGATATACTTAAATTTACAATGTGAAATAAGGGTTGGTGTAAGACGTCTAGATTATGCTTTATCAGTTTAGAGGAAATGTCATCATACCCAGGTGCCGAGTTTCCTCTGATTTTGGTGACCACGTCTAGTAAATCTTGATGGGTAATTGGTTGCAGTGAGAACTGGGAGTTCACAGCAAAATCAGCATCCTCTATTTCGACACGACCAACAGGCTGCAAAGCCCCGGCTAGCTGGGATCCGACGGAAGCAAAGTATTTGTTAAATTTATCACAGATGGAGGGGACAGTGTCGCTGTGTGCGCCAAATGCGCAGACTGGAAATTTGCATTTGGGTCGAAACCTGACCAAGTTGTAAACCTGACCAACAATTGAAACCTGACCAAGTTTCAATAAAAAACAAGTACCATTTTATAATAGCACAAACATAAACTGATAACTTATTTGGATGGTGTTGAGGTACCATTCTTAAAGTCATGCTGAAGATCAAAAGTAAGAAGAACGAATGAATGAAAATCCCTCTTTAGAGGCGAACTTAGACCTAATGGTCCTTTCTTACAGTTAACCTCTACTTAACTAAACAAGAACTTAACTTAACCGCAAGTATAAACTTGCGCTAACTATAAATAGAATAAAGTTAACAATGGCAAATTTCTAAAGAAACTTGAATAAACCGGTTTGTCACAAATTGACATAAGATATTTCTAAAGTATGATATATTGTAAAAATGAACTGCAGTACAGAAAAAAGTAACATAACAAGATTTAAAAATTACAGTAACTACTATTCAAAAACTAGAAAAACTACATAGTTGTAAAAAATCTATATATTAATAGGCAAGCATGTTAAAACCTTGTTTTCTCTCAGCTTGTGTGTATCGCAGGGTAAATCTACGCATGCTGTTAGAAAGATATTTTCCTGTAGATGTGCAGAAACCCTTTATAAATCAAAATAAGCACAGAAAACGAGTTTTGAATTAAAAATAAAATGAACAAGAGCCTTATGGGTTGCCATGCTGGTGACGAAATAACAACGATAACAGAAAATCAAAACAAATGGAAGAAATTCCAATCACATGTTTTATTTATAGCGTGGGGTGAAAATAGAGAAGCTTGCACAATACATATTTTAGGTCGAGTTTTCGTCCACCGGACGACCTCTAGTAATAATAATAAATAGCCAGAGCTTCAATTTATTCATAAATATTTTAGAAATAGCTTAAACATGTTTTTAGGAGGATTGTTAAATAACTTAGGAGCACGAAAACGGCAAACCCGTCACAAAAACTCATATTAGAACGTGGAGTAGTATTATGTTCTTAGTGGTGTGGCAAAATTCCTAGATACAATAACTATGCATAAAATATAATTTTAAGGTACACATTATTTTGATAGCTTTACAACTTTTAAATTATTATTTCTGAAGTAAAATGGCCGACGCAAGCGCAAGCTCATAATGTTGATTTGTGAGAGAGCACTGTATTATCATTGAAGCTTTTTCACCTCTACGGCTGGATAGGCCTACACAGATGTCGAACACATGTTAATAATGGCGTTAACCTTGAGATAGTGCTCTATACCATGGTATGTATTTTATAGGAAAAATTTTACGATTGTACTATGACGTCCAAAATGTTCTTAGAATATGAAGGTGTGTCTTAGGATGGGGTTATTCTATCTATAAAACATTTAGATGCAGAAGGCATAATTTGTATTTCAATTGGTGTTCCGGTATATAGGGCGAAAGGAGTCACTTGGTTGGCTGATCCAACAGTGACAGATGGCAGATGCAGATATTCGACATTTTAAACTGCTTTAAACATAGGAGTTAGCAGTCTGTACTTAGTAGTCAAAATTTGAATATCACACTACCTTTTTAACTCAACAATTTTATGTTTACTGAAAATTATTAATATCAGCAGTAGTGAATTTACGAATACTAAATTACCGTCTTCAAGGATTACTTATTCTATTGACTTCTATTGATTACTTATGTTCACCTCCCGACCTTTCATCATCGCCGCCCATCGCCTCCTATAATCCTGTACCAAGGCGGTGGCGGCACCTTGAGCCCAAAACACAGGGTGTTCCAGGAAATCCCTTATGTGTGGTCTCTGTTCCCACTTTATAGTACGAGGCGAAGGTGTTAGATACATCGCCACAATTTATCGACGTGATCGCTCCTCGAAGCCTCTGTGGGAATCACCACTGCGGTGGTCGACAACATGGTCAACTGCTGGAGACTACTCACCGGACCATGGTAACTTAACGTTTTGCGATCAAATGTCGTATTGTTTAATATGCATGCTGAGGAATGACTTACGTCAGTTATACTCTTAAAATACACGTTACCATAAAAACAGGGTTTCCACAGAAAATTGTTCATTAATTTCTATGACTATCTATTACCCATTTACCATGACGATAGGTGATGGTGGTGATTTCCATGACTCACGAACTTTACTAGACAATTATAATATAACACACACGAATAATACTGCCTATTCAAGTTATTTCACAGAAAATACTGAAATATGTTTTAACAGATAACAATGGAGTAATACATTTTGCAAAAATATGGTATTCAAAATAAGGAGGGAAAACAGAAAACCCACCCTCCTCCGTCCCCATAGCTGGCCAAGTTCTCTCTCCACTTTCTTTTTTCCTTCCTATATACTTTTATAGTATATGGGAAGGATTTCCAAAACTTTTTGCTTATGTCCCAATGTTCTGATTTTTTCCCCATGGCTTTCCATGACTATCCCTGAGTCCAGAATGTGGTCACCCCGTAAAAAATATGTGGGATATATCTGTAGTATGTGTTTATTTCATTTACATTAAACGTGTTAACTTTTAAAAGAGTTCGTGGTTGGACCATGAGGATAACAGTCGGGTGAAGGGATATAAAAATTAGTTCATGTTTTTTTCTTTGTCCATCACGTGTTCTGTTGTTTCCCATTATTTATGACAAACAATTTAGAAGTACGTATGACATTTAGTTACCAAGATATTAATATATGTACATGGACATGGGACAGTTTACAATCTAAATGGACGTAGTTGATGGAACCATGGAACCACCAAATGTGCAAATATCAATCACTAATTCTGTCGAATAAGTCGACCTCTAAACCCAGCCACACTGAAATAACTACACTTTTTTAACCATAGCATCTGATCTTGATGTCGTATTAACAGATACAAGGGGTGGAATTTGTTATAAAAATGCATAATAATAGTTTAAATGAATAGAAAAAATGAAACATAAACATCTATAGTGTAACATAATTTCAATGGCAACAAAAATGTTTTGATCGTAATAATATAACCGTAAATAATCTGAAAACACACACTAAACATTTGTACTACATATTTTTTCGTGGTCACCCCTAAAGACTAAAAGTAAGGTGTCGTTTATTATTCTTTTGAAGCCATTGCTTAGACTATGCTAGGTTCTATTTAAGCTATGGCTTTACTGAGTACCAATATTTTTCTTCAGGAGTTTCCTAGCACTAACTGATTTTATTATGTGGTTATTACATTAAGAAACACGGCCAAAGTCATTCGAATTCTATGAATGATATTATTTTTTAAACTAATAAAAAAGTGGTTATAATTTTCAGTAATAGAGTACTATTAGGAAATTACTCAATATATGCCTACGCCAGACTATTACTTTATGGCTTGTACATTTGTATGGACTTGGAGTCAAAATAAGCAAGAAAAAGATGCAACTACACAATCAGGTTTAAGATAAATTGTTTAGGAAAATATCACAGATTTGATAGGAGACGACTCAGATAACATGTTAGCTAATTTACTTTGCCAGGTCTTAAAATCCTGTGGAGTCCATTTTTGTGATAAGAAGACATTTAAAGGTTCATTAAAAAGTTGTGAAAACCTTTTTTTCATTTCGTGAACTAATGAAAATTCGTTATTTACTTGTTCAACAATCGACCACTTTTTTAATGGTCAACCCATAAATAGTGCAACCCTTTTTTTATCGTGATGAAAAATCAACACAATTCCTTAAATAACATATGTTTATTCATATATGAATTGCAAATCTATATGAGAGTACCATTGAGGAGTAAAACAGCAAAGTTAGATCTTCAATAGTTGTGTGACTTATTCACAACATTTGTTTACTTTTCAATAATCAACCATTGTTTTAAATAGTTTTTTGTAAGGCCAGACCCGGTAGGAGGGACCATCAGAGGTACCCCTCTACTCCTCTACTCCTCTACCACTCGCAATCATCGTCACCAATACCAGGAACCTCCTAGTCACCACCGGCCTACACAATCTTCTCAGTCAACCTCTATACGCCAACCTCATAACACCCTCTGTTTATGTATTTTTGTTTGTTTATGTTTATGTTTGTGTTGTGACATCAAAATGTTTGAAAATTTGCCATGGTTTCGTTGGATAAGGTAATTATTTTAATGTTTTAGTTTTAATGTTTGTGGAATGTAAAAAAACATTTATCGCATTTTTTAAAATATACAATTTATTAGTTATTTAGGGTTTTTATTTTATTAATTTTAGGTATGTAGTTGTTATAAAATTTGTTCTTCAACCACTGTATTCAATCAATCAATCAAAATAACTTTATTCATATTGCACATTTTGTACAGAATGGAGTCAGTTATAAAAACACAATATTAAACTTAAGACTACTTACAGAGAATATTGTTACTATCAAAAAAATCTAATTTCAGGAAGTTGGAAAAAATCTTCTAATTTATACAAGGGTCTGTTGGTGAGAAATAATTTCAAACATTTTTAAATGAATTAAAATTAGTTATATTTTTTAAATTGTCAGGCAAGCTATTGAAATATTTAACACCACTACCTATAAGATGGGATTTTTTCGTAAACCGATAAATTGTGTCTGTCAAATGCCAATTCATTACCTTTTCTGGTTGAATACATATGAAAAGAGTTCAATTTTGGCAATCTTTCATAGTTTGATTTAACATAAAGGGCTATTTGATAAATGTATAAGCTAAAAAAAGTCATAATTCCTATTTCTTTAAAGTGCTCTTTAGCGGATTCTTTTGATTTTAGTTTTAGCATGATGCGAATTGCTTTTTAGTTTAGTTTTTAGTTTTTTTTTTAGTATTGATCTAATAAGCAATGAGGTTACAAAAGAAAATAGCCTAATCTTAAAATTTTTATGAGAAATTGTAAATTACTAAAGTTAATACATATATAAACATTCACTTTAACTATAAAGCCTAAAGTCTATTTTTTATATGGGAGTACATATTTGTTTTTACCTTCCAATAGGAGCAGCAATTGATAGGCTATGTTTTGTACATAGTCCTTAACGTAATTTACTTGATCACTTTGTTCAGACGTTATTGAACTTTACTTATTTTAACTGATTTATTTATTTAACCATATATTTATTGGAATTTCAAACTTGATTGAAGTTGAGATTAATTAACATTGCCATATGATCAAGAACTGTACGTACACCAATATTACTTATTGGTCATCAGCGTGAATAAAAAGCCAACAAATAATTAATTGTAATTAATCAATATTCATATTGTTAATTCATTAAGGGCTTTGCTATAGACTGCTCTTTGAAACCTCTAATTCAGGCGAGTTTAGTAATGATAAAATATAGCCTATATAAGGAAAATTACAATAAATTCAAAAGCATCCTTGGGCGGTGTATAGTTTAATTTTTAGTATATACACAATTTCGACAAAATAACAGTATTGATAACTGCTATTAAAAAGTTCTATGAAAAAAATTTATGTGGGGGCCTATCAATTTACCTCTTGTTTGTATCAAATTTTGTTTTATCGACAATTTTACTACATTTAATACTACCGTACAATTTATTTATTTCATGATTTAAAATGTTTCTTTTTATTGGAATTGTGGAATTACTTAAATAAGCCTATGTATTATCTTTAAGCGCCCGTAATACATATCAAACTTTAATTTCACTCCGAAGTCTATCTTTCAGTTTATAAATTGATTTTGATAGTGTTATCTTAAAGTTTTATATGCATTAATACATTGTTATGTATTTATATTACTACGTTAAGTATTTATATTGGCTGTTTTTTTGTTATTGAATGAGGAGTTTAGAATAAATAAAGATTTTTGCTTACATGAGTTAACAATGTTTAGTCATTAAAAGGCCATGGTAATATGTAGTCCGTAAACTGACAAATTAGTATAGCAACACATACCAGCAAGTAATTCAGTTTATCGCAAAATAATTGTCTTTAGGATTTTTAAAAAGGTCTTAAAATTATACATATATTAAATTTAACACTAAAAAAAAATAAAAAAATAACGTCATTCTAAAATTGCTAATTTGTAGTTTGAAAAATTATTTAAAAATATTATAATGTTAAAAAACACAACGCCAATGGTATTTTGTTAATACCATTTCGGTAGGTTATAGTGAAACGTTGAAGAGTATTATGTAATAAGTAAAAATAACAGTTTAGACTTTATCACACAAAATTATTTCAATATTTAAATTGCGTTTGTTAAAACTAAACTATTCGCGATTGGAACAAATATTTAAACTATAGTAAATTCGTCTAAAGTCAAAACAAGACATCCGTAAGTCCAACATTCTAATTCTTTTAAACTAAGCATGTAGAAATAAGTTTTATTTCTTATAACTTTAGAATATACTACTCCATACTTCGTGTTCAAGGTAACAATGTTATAAAAGGTTATTGTATGCATGTTTGGTGTATTTGTTTATACATAATATAATAAAGGAGATAACAGATACAGTTTTGATGTAGTAGTGGTTCAAGAGAAATAAATATAAACATTTGATCAAAAAGATAATTAGTTATTCAACATTTAAATTAATTTACTGTACATAATAATCATTTTCATTGAAAATGAATGCATAAATATGAATTTTTAATGTTTATGTTGTTAAACAAATTACTGTATTGTGAAATGCACACAATAAACAGTAACCACCTTAGGTTAGACCTTTTTAGGGTGGATTTTCTGACACTTCCACAGTACTTATTTATTAGAATAGACAGTTTGTGCGATCACCAATCGGCACTAAGCTATCTATGATCGAATGTTTACAGATCTATTCTCAGCACAAAATTAAAACTAGACTCATATAAAAAAATACAGACTTGCACTTAATAATTTTCATAAATAATTGTAACATTATCTAAAAAAAAAAAAAAATATACAAAAAAAAACAGCTTGTTCGATTTCCCCATTTAAAAGAGTTGTTGTGCGCTCTAATAGGAAAATAATGTAAGAAATTCCCACAATAGAAACGCCTTTATTAATACAGTCACCAAAGAACTAGAGCCACTCAATAAAAGAGAGTGACTCGACTTTATTCTGTGCTAGAACCTAATTTGAAAATTAAGCATGGCTTGCTTAACTGGTTGCCAGAGAAAATGCGTCATGCTGCAAAACCACAGTATATTGTATTGCACAATGTATGATACAATGTATAATGTAATGTACAGAATAATGTAGGCCTACTGTAAAATAGTCTATATTAATGAAGACAGAAATGAGCGAAATTAAAACAAAGAATATCGATAACGTACAAAGCTTAAGTCAAGGAGCTTAGTCATTATTATTCATATAATTAAGGAATTGAAAAAATAAGTTTCATGATCTGGAAACTGATACCGTTTTAGGTGAAAAAGTATCTATAACATAACAAGATCAGAACACAAACCTTGCTAAAGATGGAAATTATACCAACAGAAAAACCAAACTCACTTTGCATTAGCTGGGAGGCAGTTGGTACCGATGGTTTTCGAGACTCCAAACATCCCCATCCATTGCTCCACCCAACAATTTTCCGAGGGGGTAGTTATGAATGGTTACCTGAGGAGCAGATTTATGTAGCTATTTCTTAATTTCTTTTATATATATAAAAAAAACAGAATCCAAGATAAAGACGCGACATACTGTATCTTGAAGATATAGAAGTTATCATCTAAAGTTAACGTGTTCAATTTTTTAATAAAAGGAAAGTAATATTAAATTTAGAAGTTAGAGGTAGTGTAACTATAGTATAGTAGTTACACACATCCCTAGTTTTAAGTCAATTTATGAGCATTCAATCACTGTATTACTCAGGAGAGTAAAAATGGAACAACATGAGAGAAATGCACTGCTAAAACTCAAAATGTAGGTTAATATATATTTTGAAGCCCATCAACAACATGGCCTTGAGAGTGAATCAGTATAAAATATCACCGCTATTCATTTCAATGGATGAATATGTATATTCACGAAAGTTGGTGTATTTGCACCTGAATAGACTTTAGAACAGTTTGGGTTCATTGTTTACAAACACCCAGATAAAAATAAAGTTGAGGGAAATCCCATATGAAAATATCGTTAACACTTTTAGTTTAAAAACTTGTTTTATGGTCATAGAACTTAACGTATAGCTAAATTAATTAAATCAAATAATGATTTTTTTAAACTTACATCTTTACTGATCTAGGAAAGTAGTTTGATAAAATTATATTGATTTATTTTATACTTATTAGTTTTTTATTTGGGTCTAATATTTTTTGTTCCGAGTAAATGCAAATTTCCAAGTAGCTCCTGATAAAATTCACCCCAGAAATAAACAAGCACATTTTAAAAGAGATTTCTTTTACACCATTTCATTTCAATAAGAATGTATAAAAGGATATGCAAACAAACTGTTGTAATTATTATTAGTAGGACAGGCCTACAGTAAGCCCGTTATTTATTTGCATACAGTAGGCCTACAATATGAATAGATTAAATATGTATAAATGGTTTATACTTTTAGTCCAGAATAATCTTTGCCACCTCAGAAAGCTCAATTAAATCGCAAGTGTCAAAAAGTGGTTCACATAGTATGCATTTTAAAGCCATCCGTCATGTTTTAGCATTCAAATACATACTACGCATTAGTAGTTTCCTTACAGTCGTAATGGTTTACCAAACTTCACTGTTTAGTGAAAAATGTTCGAGGAGTACACGGTGAAAAATAGAATTAAAAGCCGTAATGAATTCTCTCATACATGGAAGATGGGAAGAAACTAACCCATTACATTAAACAATTATAAAGCATCCAAATTCTTATTTGAAAACTTCTTTTAGTAAATGTGAAAATAATATTTTCTCAATAAACTAATTGTATTTTAAAGTCATTATTTTATGTAACCTAGAGAGAACGCCCAGTGGTCAAAAACTCGGCCAAAAATATGTACTATACAAACTTCTTTTTACTCCACACTAATAAAAAATGTGATTGGAATTTCTTCCATTTGTTTTGATTTTATGTTAAAGATGCTAGTAACAGAACCATTGAACCGAACTATTTTTTTGCAAGAATAATAAGCAATTAACTTTATTCTAGGTAAACCTAGAAGGATAAGATGGACTGCACAGAATACTAAACAAGTTCAATGTAAGTGACAAAACTTTCATCAAAAGCTTCCGAAGTGGACAATCTAAGAATGGGAAAGATGGAGGATTACTCTTGGATGATCCCAGGTTTGGAAGGATTGCTAGAAGCTTCGTGTGAACCTTTAGTGTACGAAAGGACGGATACTCCAGGTGTTCCAGAAACTCCAGGAATTCCAGCGACTCCAGAGAGTGCCGTGACCGAGATGGTCGTGTCGGGGGTGTCCAGTGGGGGAGTCGTACGGGTGCAGAGGGGTTGGTCCGAGGAGAGTGGTTACAGATCACTCCCGGAAACTCAGAACGACTACAGAACTTTAAGTCTGCAAAGTCCTTACGGGTCAGACGATCCTACGAGCCCTGAAGGATACCGGTCCTTCAGGGAAGCCACAAGTCCTTCTGCGGAGTCGGAAGTGTCTTTGACTGAGTTAGGTAATATGATGTTGTCCTCGGACTCTCTTGTGGGGACGCCGTCAATGGTGCTCCAGGATTTGGACAGTGTGAATAGCGAGGACAAAGAAGAGTCTCAGGATGAGATGGTTTTGGTTCCTTCTGGTGAGTAGACTTGGAGATAAGTTCAATTCAATGTAGAGTAAATTTGTCTATAAATTTAAAGCTTGTAGATTTTTTTACTAAAAGGAATGTAATATCAAATTTTGAGGTTTATTAATCAAAAATTACCGTCAGCAATGTTTCGGTACCTTAAGACGATTCTCGATAACTCCGGTTCTTAAGAAAGTACCGGTGGTACCGGTACCGAAATTAGTGTTAACATTTCGGTACAAACAGTGCGGATGTGGCGGTCTGACAACAGCTACGCGCCGTAACATTGCGCGAATCGCGGTCCACACAATCGTAAATCAGCCCCTGCTTGTAGGTGTAAAGTTACCTTTTTTTCACACTAGTGATGTGCCTAAACGAAAACATGGCTGTCGGTCAAAGACTATAGTTGTGGCATCCATTAAAAAATCACTTTTCCTATTACAAACATGTACATTTCACCTTACAAACAGTCCCCGGTTCCTCTTTCGTCTGGACAATGTGAAATAACGAGCTATTTTATTTAACATTCCAACGTGTAATACTTGAAAACAATAATGTATTATTTGAGTTTTGAAGTTTCTGGCTTGACTTGGTTTTAGCTTTGCTCACTAAACCTTTAAAATTTCCTGGCAATAAAATACACCACAAAAAATAAAATAATCAATACATTACCTGTTTCTAATTCTTATATTGCATTCACATAAACATTATCCACCCATACTTCACTTAATTAGTTTTTGTATCCAGCCAACATATTTTTACAGTATCAATATGAATATAGAAATTGATAATATAAAACTTACCTTCTAAGAAAGAGTGTTGTTTAAGTAAGAGGAATATGGTATGATACATTACCAAACACATTTTTAATTTTTTTTTTTTAAGAAAACAACGACTCTCATACATCAAAGCTAAACAAAAGAGCTGGATTGTTTTAGTGGATAAGTATATAAAACATGAACTTGAAATTATAAATTGTATTGTAACCAAACTATATACAAGCATGCAATACAGGTTTGGCATTATCGTCCTGTAATCCAGCTACTAGTAGGTCACGAATTGTGGATATTTATAGAGATGCACTGTGGATGCGATGCTCCCTGGTGTGGATTAACGTCCGCACTAGTGAGTACTACGACTATCCGCAGTACTATCCTGATAATTAGACTAATTCGTTAATTACAAGGCAAAAATGTGGTTCGGATTCCACTATAAAACCGTAGGTCCCTAGTTGTCATTGGCTGTATGGGCTATTTAGTCCATGAGCCAATTGATATTTTGGTACCACCTGGGGTGGCAAGTGCTATCAATGTTTTTCTTGTATAGTTTTACGTGTAGATCAAGAATATATGTGATAGCAATGCATAAGTAGTAGCTTTATGTACAAAAAGTAGGTTTTATATTACAAAATTGAATTTTTTCTCAAAAAATTTAATTTTGTCTTTTACATTGGTAAGAAGACACCAGTCAAGGTGGCACGTGCTATCAATGTTTTTCTTGTATAGTTTTATGTGTAGATAAAGAATATATGTGATAGCAATGCATAAGTAGTAGCTTTATATACAAAAAAGTGGGTTTTATATAACAAAATTGAATTTTTTCTAAAAAAATTGTATTTTGTCTCATTTGTAAGAAGGTACCAGTCAAGGTGGCACATGCTATCAATGTTTTTTTTATAAAGTTTTATGTGTAGATAAAGAATATATGTGATAGCAATGCATAAGTAGTAGCTTTATGTACAAAAAGTAGGTTTTATATAACAAAATTAAATTCTTTCTCAAAAATTTAATTTTGTCTCATACATTGGTAAGAAGACACCAGTCAAGGTGGCACGTGCTATCAATGTTTTTCTTGTTTAGTTTTATGTGTAGATCAAGAATATATGTGATAGCAATGCGTAAGTAGTAGCTTTATGTACAAAAAAGTGGGTTTTATATAACAAAATTGAATATTTTCCCTCAAAATTTAATTTTGTCTCATTTGTAAGAAGGTACCAGTCAAGGTGGCACATGCTATCAATGTTTTTTTTATATAGTTTTATGTGTAGATAAAGAATATATGTGATAGCAATGCATAAGTAGTAGCTTTATGTACAAAAAGTAGGTTTTATATAACAAAATTAAATTCATTCTCAAAAATTTAATTTTGTCTCATACATTGGTAAGAAGACACCAGTCAAGGTGGCACGTGCTATCAATGTTTTTCTTGTATAGTTTTATGTGTAGATCAAGAATATATGTGATAGCAATGCATAAGTAGTAGCTTTATGTACAAAAAGTAGGTTTTATATTACAAAATTGAATTTTTTCTCAAAAAATTTAATTTTGTCTCATACATTGGTAAGAAGACACCAGTCAAGGTGGCAAGTGCTATCAATGTTTTTCTTGTATAGTTTTATGTGTAGATCAAGAATATATGTGATAGCAATGCGTAAGTAGTAGCTTTATGTACAAAAAAGTGGGTTTTATATAACAAAATTGAATATTTTCCTCATACATTTGTAAAAAGGTACCATTCATGGAGGCACGTACTATCAACGTTTTTTTTATTTTTTTTTGTATGTAGATCTTAAATTAACATTGTAGCATTATCTTTGTAGTAGGATTTTCTTACAATATTATTTTAAATTTGAAAATACAAATTAAGGCACAAGTAAAGGCAATATTGCAGCACTGAAGATGGTTCGAAGGAACAAAGAATGTCAGAAAATATTTCAAGAACTGGGAACTAACTGGGTTGTTCCAGATGAATTGTTCAATTGCCTACAAAGGTTTGTGTGTAAACTTTATGGAGACTAACAGGAAACCAATAAAGTAAACCAGTATAGATATAAAATGTTTTGTTCTAAGAAGGGTGAAGTTGATCCCCATCAGCTACCACCATGTGACGACTGCCTTTTAAAACACACTCGACGGGCCAATTGGCAAATACCAGACTGCAGTTTGGAAAAACTGTATGAAAACTGATGAAATTCCAAGTCCTATTGGGCATGGGTGGTTAGTGAAGGAGACAAACGAAGGAGACGAAAAAGGGATTGATTGGATGGAAGGACTTCCAGCACCTCAAGCGGTCATTGAAATGATATCTTGTGATTGCAAAAGAATTTTCAAAGAAGACCAATGTCCCTGCATAGCAAATGGCTTGAAGTGCACTCAGCTTTGTAAATTGGCAACTTGCACAAACCAACCTGACGACGATGAAGATAAAGTTACAGAAGAAGAATGTGAGGAACTGTTTTATTAAATTACTAAAACTACTTTATTTCTAACCCAAACACCTGTAAAGGGCATACACTGACATATTCATTAAAGAAATAATTAAAGAATTCAATATCTATAATCTTGTGTTCTTTACCAGTTATACCCTATATAATGCCATAACATTATAATTATATAAATATAATATACAATATATATATATTACAAATATCAATAGGTATGTTAATTTGGTGCTAGACTGGACGGGCTCATTTGAGACGCACTTGATGTTTTGAAGCATGGAGCCAGAACGCACTCCAGTCCATATAGCGAATAAATAGTAAGACATACGGACAAAAATAAATATGCTTTGTTTTAGATATTGGACAAAAGAACAACATTTACATTAAAACAATTTTCATTGGAACGTTTTTTATCAATCTTCATGCCAAAAACATGTTGTTCAAACAAAAGTTTTGATATTTTCAAATTTAAAATGATTTCTTTAAGAAAAAGCTTCTACATGGATAATGCTATAATGTAAGTTTATGATCTACATACAAAACTCAATAAAAAAACATACAAGAAAAACTTTGATAGCACGTGCCGCCACTTTGACTGGGACCTTTTAACAAATTTATCAGAAAATTTAAATTTGTTGAGAAAAAAAATCCTTTTTAAAATATGAAAACCTATTTTTTATATAAAGCTACTACTTATGCATTGCTATCACCTTAATGTAAACATAAAACCATACAAAAAAACATGGATTGCACGTGCCACCTTGACTGGTAACTTCTTACAAAAATATGAGACAAAATTCAATTTTTTTTTTAAATTCAATTTTGTTATATAAAAACCTACTTTTGTACATAAAAGCTACTACTTATGTAATGCTATCACATATATTCTTGATCTACACATAAAGCTATACAAGAAAAACATTGATAGCACATGCCACCTTGACTGGTACCTTCTTACAAATAAATGAGACAAAATTCAATTTTTTGAGAAAAATTCAATTTTGTTATATAAAAACCTACTTTTTTACATAAAGCTACTACTTATGTATTGCTATCACATATATTCTTGATCTACACATAAAACTATACAAGAAAAACAATGATAGCATGTGCCACCATGACTGGTACCTTCCCACAAATGAGACAAAATACAATTTTTTGAGAAAAAATTCAATTTTGTTATATAAAACCCACTTTTTTTGTACATAAAGCTACTACTTATGCATTGCTATCACATATATTCTTGATCTACACATAAAACTATACAAGAAAAACATTGATAGCACGTGCTACCTTGACTGGTGTCTTCTTACCAATGTATGAGACAAAATTACATTTTTAAAGAAAAAAATTCAATTTTATCATATAAAACCTACTTTTTTGTACATAAAGCTACTACTTATGCATTGCTATCACATATATTCTTGATCTACACATAAAAATATGCAAGAAAAACATTGATAGCACTTGCCACCCCAGGTGGTACCAATTAAGGTCATTTTTAGGTTTGGCTCATGGACTAATTAATTAATAGCTGTGTCTAAGGAACATGTCGGCCTTAGTCAGCAAGACTACAAGATCGCGCCATTCATCCTACACTAAAAAAGATGCGCTAAAAATACGTTAAAATACGCACATAGTGGTGCCCCCATCTTTAATTGATATAACTGATATTATGGCTTGAATAAAAAATTTAAAGTCAGTTTACAAATCTGCACACCTACACGAATATTTCAATGTTTAATACGAACAAAATTTGCAAGTAGCTTATTAGAGGTAGGCTTTAATTAAA